TTAAATATTAAAATCATCAAAAAACAGTGCTTCCCTTGGGCGTATCTCATTTATAGATATATCTTACATTGATCGACTAGAATTTCTTTTATGAATCCAACTGTATGAATATTCACGTACATACGTGAACAAAAACGGAAATGTTGCCTTAATTGTTGTCGCCCTTAATGTTGTTGCTGTTGCTGTGATTGTTATTGTTAAAAAAATAAAAAAATACTTTAGACACAAAAAAAACATTACGGCACTCGATGCTAGCATATGCTTTTGTAATTAGAGGTGTTAGCCGATCATTTAATCAGCGGCGACGGGGAGCTCTCTCCGAGAAGTTCGTTTTTGATGGCGGCGACGACAAAATTTTTTCTGTGTTATTTCACAAGGTCTTTCGTAGGTCCCTACCGTGACGACAAAGATTAGACATTCTGTTTTCACATAATTATAACGATGTATCTCTCTTAGCAAGCTGCTGTCTTTTTATGCAAAAATTTTTCCACTAGAGGTAACTTTATTTTCATTAATTAAAAAAAAATACACCATCTCCTCATCAAATAACTTCAAACCACACAACAATCACTCATGATGTAAGCCAAAATGGCATTAATATGACTATCAATCTAAAACACAAATTAAATTCAAACATGGTAGCTAGATTTGGATCATAAGTGAAATTAATATTGAAATTGGAATTTGAATCCAAATTCAAATCGATACTTTTCTGTGAGTTGAGAAAAAGAGTAAGATTTATTTTCATTGATTATTCGAATTCAAATTCAAACTAAATATTTTTCTTTTTTCTTTTTCTAAACTGGCACGAGAGTATCAATTGAGACTCGAATTCGAATCATAATGTTAGTTACATTTATATTCGAACTCAAACTAGACAGTTAGTCGAAATTGGATACTGTATAAGTCAAAAATCGCGAAACAAGGAAAATAATAGCGATGAATCTATTATACATGAAGGAACAAGGCAAATTAGAACCTAATAAATATGATAGCGTCACAAATTACAAAGGAACATATTTACCTATCAGCTCAGCTTTCAGATCCTAAGTCATCCAAGACAGAATATACTAATTCCTATTTTTTAAAAATTTTGCTGGTTTCAGTAACCTCTAATTGTCACGCAGATCAAACTTGATATATACTGATTATTATCAACAAGTAATAATTTAGAAACAGAGGAAGCTTGAACTATGACCTTTCACTCGATCGGCGGCGGCAGCGGCGGATGAAAATTTTATCGGCGGCTAACACCTTTACTTTTGGCACTTTTTGAACTTGACTTTTTTGTTGAAGGAGAGGCCTTAAATGCAGTTAGTTCAAATATTCGTCAGCTCCAATTAGCCAACTATAAATTCTCTAATATATTACTGACCAACTGTTGTTGCTGTTGTTATATTTGCCACCTCTCTTAAAATTTCATAGAGATAATAGAGCAAAACATGTTTAAACATCAGTTTATCCAATGAACAACATTAGCTACATGTATAAAACTGTCAATGAAATAGTATGTTCGAGAATAGTGCACTCATTTTAATTGAAAAACTCATATGAAGTAAATGTAAATTATCTTTTATTGTCAATGAAATGAAAGAAGGGCAATCATCTTCAGATACAAGACAAGATTTTTCTTTTTAATAAAATATCAAACAAAAACTATATTGCTCGAGATATAGTGTTTTCCATTGCAAATTGTAAAAGATAAGTATTTTCATGTTTATTTCGTGGTACTTCTGAAAAACTATATTGAGACATATTCGCTTAATTCCCTTTCTTTGACCACAAGAGTGACTATTGTAAAACGATAGGGAAAAATAAACGAAGCACTGCATTCTAAAACTTTTTCAACAATTATTGTAGTGAACTTTATTTGCTGTCGATTGAAAATAAAAACTCTTTCTTTTTGTTGCTTTGTCTTCGGAAAACATGAGTTACAAACTTAGTGAGCACCGGAAAAGCGCAAAATCGAGTATTTTATTTGTAAATTGTTTTTCGATAAACGCGTATGATACATATCGGCGAGGTATTATGTTATATATAATGACTATAATATCTAATACTAGCAATATCTGTGTTCTTCAAAATTTTCGCGAAACTGGATGGAAAAGAGAGGTGTTCCGGCACAAAATGATTGCTTTAGTCATCGGCGGGCCACCATTGGGGCAAAGTGGGGCAGTTGCCCCACCAAAAATTTTTATTCGCATAGATGCAATTTGCTCATTTTTTTCTAGAGCTGATATAGACATTGGTTATTTATTTGTTCTTTTTTTTAGTTTTTTGAAATTTAAAAAGGTCTTCACTCTTCAGAATAGTTTTTAACTAAGAAAAGAAAGATTGGCTAAAGTCTTATGTTTTCAAGTACATTTGTTTCATACTCATTCTTTGGATATTATGTTTTTCTATTGGTTTCTAAATAAGAAAGACCAAGTTCTATAAAGACATCTTACACTTGAAAAAGATAACAAAATAATGTTCACAATCAATTGAAACATACAGTGTTACAACTCTTTGAACATATGTTTAGTTATTGATTTATTCAACGTAACTTAATTTTTTCGAGGAATATATTCGTCATCTTCAAAATGATGAACTTTCTATTGTATATTTATATATACAGGGTAGCGCAAAAGTCAGTTTACCGAAAAAAAATTGAATATCTCCATTACGACTCAAGTAAATGAGCTGAATTTTTTACCAATGATAGAGGCGTATGCAAAGTTTATATCCATAAAGACATGCCTAGAGAGACCCTTTGTTAAGTATCACTATTGATCTCAGCAAGAAAAATTTTACTTTTTCACAGATAGAAAAAGAAACAATATACTTAACAGAGGGTCTCTCTAGGCATGGTTTTATGGATATGAAGCTTGAACATGCCTCTATTATTGGTAAAAAAATCAGCTAGTTTGCTCGAGTCGTAATGGAGATATTCAATCTTTATTTTGGTAAACTGACTTTTAGGGTATATGGCCTAAAACTCACGATACCAAGAAAAAATTAAATATCTCCACTACGGCTCGAGCAAACAGGCTGATTTTTTTACCAATAATATAAGCATGTTTACACTTTAAATCCATACGGACAAGTTTAGATGGAACCTTTATAAAGCACCACTAATGACTAGGGATGCACCAATTCCAATTCCAATCAATTCCAATTCTTAGAATTGCTGGATTTGGTAGGAATTGGAATTGGAATTGGAATTGGAATTGGTAGAAATTGGTTGGAATTGGAACTAGAATTGGTCGGAATTGGAATTGGAATTGGGTCAAGTCACCTAAAAATCTTATGGAACCCTAGGAATTGGTCTGAAACTGGCTAGACTTGGCTTGAGCTGGCTATAATTGGTATGGAGTCCTAAGAATTGTTATGGAATTGGCCTGAAATTGGCTCGAATTGGACCGTATTGCCTACAATTTGCATGAAATCCTAGGAACTGGTATGGGATTGGTCTGAAACTGGCTCGGATTGGCTTGAGCTAGCTACAATTCTTATGAAATCCTAGGAATTGTAGACAATTCTGCCCAATTCAAGCCAGTTTAAGATCAATTCCTAGGGTTCCATACGAATTGTAGGCAATACGGTCCAATTCGAGCCAATTTCAGGCCAATTCCATAACAATTCTTAGGACTCCATACCAATTATAGCCAGCTCAAGCCAAGTCTAGCCAGTTTCAGACGAATTCCTTACCAATTCCTGGGGTTCCATAAGATTTTTAGGTGACTTGACCCAATTCCAATTCCTGCAATTCCAATTCCAATTCCGACCAATTCTAGTTTCAATTCCAACCAATTCCTACCAATTCCAATTCCAATTCCAACCAATTTCTACCAATTCCGTTAATTCTAAGCTAAGAATTGGAACTGGAATTGGTTGGAATTGGAATTGGTGCATCCCTACTAATGACATCAACAAAATAATTTTATTTTTTTACAGATAGGTTAGAAAACAATATACTTGATAGAGAATCTCTCTAGATACGTCTTTATGAATATAAAGCATGAACATGTCTCTATCATTGATAAAAGAATCAGCTCATTAGCTCGAGCCATAGTGTAGGTATTTAATTTTTTTTGCAAAGTGACTTTTTTTTTCTAATTATGAAAAAGTAAATATTTCTTATTGAGGCCAATAGTGACACTTAACAAAGGGTCTCTCCAGGCATGTCTTTGTGGATATAAACTTTGAACATGCCTCTATCATTGGTAAAAAATTCAGCTCATTTACTTGAGCCGTAATGGAGATATTCAATTTTTTTTCGGTAAACTGACTCTTGCGCCACCCTGTAGATAGAGATAGACAGAAGAAGAAAAGCAACTGTAATAATTTTTGCCACACCAAAAAAATTACCCTGGCCCACCAATGACTTTAGTGACTACTGGCAAAAGAAGAAAGGTGACGAACAGGAAAGATGGAAAATGTTATTCTTTTGTGCATGATGCTTTTGTATGTTGTAGCCGATTTACTGCTATTGTTAACGGTATATAAGCCTGGACGTCTTCTTTTCTGTTTTTCTCTTTCATCTTCTGTATTCTTTCGATCTTTTTGTTATTGTAACTTATATATATGTGTGTGAAAGCAAAAAGAGAAATTACTTTTGGAATAAACTTTTACGTTACGCTCGTCGATAGGAGCTAACAATTTGGTGCCGTGACCCATCTTCTTCTATTTACTACAACGAAGAAAAACGAACTTATTAATTAATTTACTCATCCGTGACGGAAAGAGTGATATATAATCTCATCTTTCTAAGAGAGAGAAGATTACACGGCTACATACGAATTAATTTCAAAATTTTAATTAACATAAGAAGGTATATTTCTTCTATATCAAGTTCAAATTTTTTGTCCTTCCTTTAAGTGCATATATATATATATCTAACAACGGCTACCGGTACAAGAGGAGCGATAAAAAAAAGTAGAGCAAATCTTCTATCATACGAATTAATCACTAATTCACCAACACGAATACGAAATAGAAAATTAAACGATATTTCATCAATGCAAGAAATGGAAACAACCTCAATGGAAACTCGACAACTTCATTCAAGTCAACAAGAAGCGATGAAAAAAATAGCTGAATTTTCAGGAGAAGCTAATGAAATCGACATTGATGAATGTTTATGCGATTTAAATAATTTATTTTCATTAATGGAATTAACAGATGAAACAAGAATTCTTGAAAGAATGGGCAAAGTAACAGGATCAGCATTACGATAGTATCAAGATAATTAACGATTATTCAATAATTGGAGTGATGCTGAAAAAGCATTACGAGATCGATTTCAAGAATTTACATCACATAGTCAATTAATACAAGAATTTTTTTATATTCATCAAGAAGATAACCAATCTGTTATATCATTTTACGAAAATGTTATTCGAAAATACAGAAATTTTCAACAATTTATTACTGGACAACAAGTTATTACGGTATTACACAATGGTGTTAAAAATTCCTTGAAAGAATATTTAAGAGAGCGCCCATGAGCCCATCAAAGAATCGAAGCACTCGATAAATTTTAGATTTTTGATCTGATATTCTCATCTTGCTCAGCATCATTGAAAACCTCTAAATCCAAA